GCTCCTCGTGTTTGAAAGATCATGATATATATATATATATATATATATATATATATATATATATATATATATATATATCCAATTGGGTGTAAGTTAGCATGGACTATTATTGTTGACATCACCTAAAGGTGAATACGTGGGAGGCGACACAATAAGCCCCTATCTTTCTCAGTCTCCGGCTGAAACTCCATAACCATAAGTATTGCGTGAGTGTTAGCAATTGTAGAAGACTACATGATAGTTGAGTATGTGGACTTGCTAAAAGGCTCCATTCTTGACTCTTTCTGACATTATGATAAATTGCAATTGCTTCAATGAGTGACATTATAGTTTGTTAGCTTTCAATGAAGTTTCTGAACCATACTTGCCATTGTGCATTGATTGCTACTTGAGCATAAGAAGTCATATGACAAAATCTATTTACGTTGCTGTTATAAGAATAATCATGATGCCCTCATGTCCGTATTTTATTTTTATCGACACCTCTATCTCTAAACATGTGGACATATTTTTCGATTTCGACTTTCGCTTGAGGACAAGCAAGGTCTAAGCTTGGGGGAGTTGATACGTCCATTTTGCATCATGCTTTTATATCAATATTTGTTGCATCATGGGCTGTTATTACACATTATATATCAATACTTATGGCTATTATCTCTTATTTTATAAGGTTTACCATGAAGAGGGGGAATGCCGACAGCTGGAATTCTGGCTGGAAAAGGAGCGAACATTGGAAACCTATTCTGCACTGCTCCAAAAGACCTGAAACTCCATGAAACTTATTTTTGGAATTAATAAGAATTATTGAGCGGAAGAAACACCTCAGGGGGCCCGCACCCTGGCCAGGAGGGTGGGGGCGCGCCCCCTGTCTCCTAGGCCCCTTGGTGGCCCTTCGGTGTCCATCTTCTACTATATGAAGAATTTTACCCTGGAAAAAATCGTGGGGAAGCTTACGGGACGAAACTCTGCCGCCACGAGGCGGAACCTTGGCGGAACCAATCTAGAGCTCCGGCAAAGCTGTTCTACCTGGGACACTTCCCTCCAGGAGGGGGAAATCATCACCATCGTCATCACCAACGATCCTCCCATAGGGAGAGGGTCAATCTCCATCAACATCTTCACCAGCACCATCTCCTCTCGAACCCTAGTTCATCTCTTGTATCCAATCTTGTATCCAAAACCACAAATTGGTACCTATGGGTTGCTAGTAGTGTTGATTACTCCTTGTAGTTGATGCTTATTGGTTTACTTGGTGGAAGATCATATGTTCAGATCCCTAATGCATATTATTACTCCTCTGATTATGAACATGAATATGCTTTGTGAGTAGTTACGTTTGTTCCTGAGGACATGGGTGAAGTCTTGCTATTAGTAGTCATGTGAATTTGGTATTCGTTCGATATTTTGATGAGATGTATGTTGTCTTTCCTCTAGTGGTGTTATGTGAACGTCGACTACATGACACTTCACCATTATTTGGCCCTAGAGGAAGGCATTGGGAAGTAATAAGTAGATGATGGGTTGCTAGAGTGACAGAAGCTTAAACCCTAGTTTATGTGTTGCTTCGTAAGGGGCTGATTTGGATCCATATGTTTAATGTTGTGGTTAGGTTTACCTTAATACTTCTTTTGTAGTCGCGGATGCTTGCAATAGGGGTTAATCATAAGTGGGATGCTTGTCCAAGTAAGGGCAGTACCCAAGCACCGGTCCACCCACATATCAAATTATCAAAGTACCGAACGTGAATCATATGAGCGTGATGAAAACTAGCTTGCCGATAATTCCCATGTGTCCTCGGGAGCTCTTTTCTCATTATAAGAAATTGTCCAGGCTTGTCCTTTGCTACAAAAAGGATTGGGCCACCTTGCTGCACTTTATTTACTTTCATTGCTTGTTACTCGTTACAATTTATCTTATCACAAAACTATCTATTACCTACAATTTCAGTGCTTGCAGAGAAAACCTTACTGGAAACCGCTTATCATTTCCTTCTGCTCCTTGTTGGGTTCGACACTCTTACTTATCAAAAGGACTATGATAGATCCCCTATACTTGTGGGTCATTAGATGGCAGCACCAGACCCGACGATGTGGAGGTAGCCCATATGCCTATATGGGTGGGCATCCATGATGTCCCCCTGATCATGCTGGATGAAGCGGTGGCTTGGAAACTTGGTGCCAAGCTTGGTGAGGTGCTGGAGGTGGACACTAACATCCATGGGCATCTGTGGGGAGACTTCATTAGGGTTCACATTAACCATGATGTAGATGAACCTCTCCGCAGTAGCATTACTCCCATGACAAGCCTAACACTAAGTTGTTCTTCTTAGAGGTGAAGTGTGAGAGGGTGCCTAGGTTTTGTGGTTTTTGTGGTTTCCTCGGGCATGGCCAACGCGATTGTAAGTTGCCAGTGGACCTCCAAGAGATGAGGTACACGGCAACAATGCGTGCCTCCTCGTTTAAGAAGAGCAACAGTAGGGGTGGTTATGTCGCACCAGTAGCCAACAGTGCTCGTCGGCTTCTCAGTTTTGGAAGGAAGGTGCAACATGTGGGCTGCAGCAATAGGGCCAAGACCGAACATCAGGTGCTACCCGAGGAAATACTGGCGAACCCTCGGGTCCAGGCTGTGATTGCGGTTGTCAGCGCTTTGAAGGTGTCCGAAGATGGTGGCCTTGCGAAGAATCTGCGGTCCCAAGTGGCATCTTCCCAAGCTCCGATCACGGGAGAGGGCACTTTGGAGACAAGGAGGGGCCAAGCAACCAAAACCTTGGCACTTCCTGATGATAGTGAACCGATGCAGGGGATCAAGCACAACAATGGTATGACTGTTGCCTCTGTTGACCAGGAGGCATCGCAAGAAAATTTGAAGGCCCCTGGGACTACTCTGCTGAGTACCGGCGCTGCGGAGGAGTCACTGTCGGTACAGGGGGCAACGGAATCGGCCACTCCAGAAGCTTTTTAGGTCGCAGCTGCAGGTGGTGCTGATGAGCCAGAGTTCCCGCCCGGTTTTGGACCTGTACCTCTTTTCACTAACATAAAGGGTGATGCGGCTGCTGGGACTGGTGAGGTTGGAGGGGAACCTCTGAAGAAGAGGAGCACTAAGATGCCGGTTGTTGTCTTGATTGATTTGCCAAGGGTGATCGCATAAATTACCATGATAGATCTTCACTGGCGGATTTCCAAAAAGAAGAAATATGTCGTGCATCGCTTTCCCACACCAGCCTCCAGCGCTCCCAGTTGAAGGAGCCAGCAAGCAGGGCGTTGATTCTGTCAACCACAATAGCGAGAAGAAATAGAATGGTGCCGATGATGAGGAATGGTGGGGTTGGGATGTGGGAGAGAAGCTGACGTTGGCGACGGACTACCCGTCTGGGTAATACGCCATGGCTGCCATGGACCTCGTGGTCATATGGACGGGTCTCGATTGAGTTCTAGTGCACGTGGGCCATCCAGATGAGAGGTCATTGACGAAAAGAAAGCGAAGCCTCGCGATCAACATGTAACGAGGGACGGGCTTGATGAAAGATGAGCAGAATAGGGAACAATATTCTTTATTTTGATAGGAGAGATATTGTTATCCCCTCCCAAACTCTTTGAATCCTTGTATTAAAGTTATCCTATGGATTATTGATTCCTTCGGTGCACCGCCAAGAAAACTAAGTTCATGATACATAGTAGTGTTGACAACAGGGTGTTAGTTGCATGAATTTTCCAATATTCATACATTCCACTAGATTTGATTCATACCACTCCCCCTTCACAATCAATGAACTATGTGTTGCTAATCATTGAGGCATGTGCACTTTTGCTGGAGCAAGCCCCCAACAAACGACCGATAGACTACTCAATGGAAGCTCAGGTGATTGACGATATCAAAGTGCAGGCTAAGCTAGGGTTTACTGATGCGTGATTGTTCACTGGTAAGCAAGATGTCAGTTCTGTTGCTCATACTCTAGCACAACTGGGATTAAATGCTCCTTCTGATGTAACTCTTGAATGGGATGATGATTTACTAGCGGACATTGTTGGGGTTATAAGGGCCTATAGTGCCCATATTGTTTCCATGGGAAAAAATGAACCACGTGTTACTCGATGGCATGGTCACATATAATGGTCACATATATCCCAATCCCGTACAGAAGGGCCAGGCGATTCTTACCATATGCACCAAACTCAAACAACACGTGTTTCTGATTCCTCTCACTCCTATCAACAACACTCTAAACTTGTATTATCTGGCTTGCTGCTTTCCCTTCCATGGATAGGTAGCGAAGTGACAACGGGGAGCAAGCCCGCATCCTCATATATATAGCATAAGCTTCCGAGCAAATTAATATTACACGGTACTACTACATGATAGCTGCTATCGTCTAGGGGATAACTCACCAAAATAAATCATAAACACATACTAGGACGATACGAGCAAATCAATGCTACATGCTATAACATAATAGCCGCTATCCTGCAGGGTTCCTCACATAATATATCTTAAACACATACTGGGACCATACGTACGCCGCTGCCCACTCAAGTACACAAAATTTGATTAATACTACTTCTCTATCGCGCTTCATTGATATACACAGGTGGTTTTCAAACTAGTCTCAGAGAGGTATGCAGTCACAACTCTCAATCAGCGGTCTTCCGATACACACAACTCCAACAGTGTACATGCATTTCACACAAAAAACTGTGTACGCGTCATAATACCGTAAGAGTCATATCAATTCCATCACGTGTGCTACACAGATATATAATACAAGTACAAACTGGGGTACGCCATAAGCTTCAATTGTTAAACCACCAGTACATAGCTTGTTCATGGCATGTGCGGGATGGTAGGAAAGCACCATTACTTACGAATTACCATGTGGCATGTTTGTTGATCAGGAAGCACATGCTTCACTTATTCCACCAAACAGAAAAAGAAATAAGGAAAGAATACAGAGTCCCAGTGGTAAGTAGAAGAACGATATGAACCCGATGATCCAAAGTGTTGATTCACTTCTCCCACCAGTGAAGAAAATCATTGCGCCTATGGATGTTCTTTTGCAGCTGGAGAACACCATACATTAGAGCCTCAGTAGTTGGAGGACATCCATGGACGTAGATGTCCACAAGGACGATCCGGTCACACCCACGCACAATAGAGTATGAGTAGTGGTAGTATCCACCGCCGTTGGCATAGCTGCCCATGGAGATCACCCCTCGAGGATCTAGCATCTGGTCATAAAGCCTGCCAAGAACATGTGAAGCGCAAAATGTCAGATACATCTACATGCTATCCACATTTAAATAGGTATTATCAATCAGATGCAGCCAAAATAAAATTTTATATGTACCTACAAAATGTTTAATAAAAAAAGGAACTCGGTTACTAGCAGGAAGAACACAATGTTGTAAGCTAATTGTGTTTTTAGGATATTTGAATCAAGAAACCTTGAGAAAATGCAATGAACAATTATGAGTATGCTATTTCAAGAAAACTAGCATCCCCATTCATTTGCAACCAAAAGGAAGTCATAGAAGAATCATTAAGTTCTCCTTGCTGCAATAACCATACAAACAGCAGAAAGTTCCTGTGGAGGTCCGACTACATGGAACCTCTCATCCTCACCCCTCCAACATTGCTTTGATATCTGTGCTATCCAACTAACTTTCTATATGATTTTTTCTTTTTTTCTCTTAAACGAAACAACATATGGTCTAAGTTTGCAGATCAAAAAAATCTGAACTTCAATGTGTGAAAAAACTTTTAGATTTTTTGCTCCGGCATAAATATACAAAATGAGATTTTTATTGATTAAAATATATATATTAAAATGCATGAAAAAATCCGAAAGGTTTTCCCCACGTCGTAATAACAATGTTTTGTTGTCCTACAAAGTTAAATATATTGCTTCGTTTGAGAGAAACAAAAAAGAGAAATGTGCCTTCGACATTGTGTTCGACCTACAGAAAACCATACTCAATAAACAAACTTGAGACTGCAAAGGCATCTATGCCACAATCTGTTTGTGTTCCTTATTAAAAGCAAATCAATATAGCATGTTAAACAAAAAACCAACCTGTGCCAAACCAGAAATAGCCAAATTGGGCTACAAGGACTTTTTTTAGAGAAAAGGCACAGCCCGAGCCCAAGAAGGATTCGAGCATAGCCCGGCTTTGAATTAACAAAGCCATCAACCGGCCAGGATTACAACGACAACAGACCATACAACAAGGAAAGAAAAGACGGCAGGGATGCAACCCTGAAATGGCCAATACAAGGAGTGCAAGGAAAGCACAAACGCAACAAACATAAAGAAGGCTACAGCTTGAAGATCTAAGTTCTTGAGGAGAGTCACGCCACCGAAAGGGAACAACTTGCACCCAAGGCCAACAAGATTGAAAGCCACCACCATGGGGCCAAGTCTTCACACACAGGCTTGAGGGATGCGGCGCCGACAACAAGGGGGAACTGCTTCCTGAGAGCAAGTTCGACATATATGTCAGGCCGGTGGAGGCAATGGGCGCGACCACCCGAGCAAGAAACATCAAACACAAGCAGCCACCCACAATTGAAGCAAGTCGTTGACGCAAGGCAAGGACCAGAGGCGTCCCACGAAGACACGGCATTGATTGAGCAACACAGCCACCAGGAAGAACCAGAGCTCACCACGACCACCATCTCAGAACCACCGTCACAACCTAGTCGCCGAAGAGAGGACCACTATCCCCTCTTGCCCAGGCCATGGGCGTCGATCCGCCGGACAGACAGGACCACACGGGGGAGAGCACGGCGGCCATTGGAGGGAACCGGTCATTCATGGTGAAGAGTCACCACCGGAAGGAGAAAACGCCGCTGCCGGGAGCACCCAAAGCATGCAGCAGCCTACCCGCCTCCCCACAGACCCAAAGCAGCGCCTTCAAGAAGGTAACGACGACGCCATGGCACCGCCGCCGCCCACACCAGAGTTGTGGGCTTTCACCCGGGTGCAGGGGAAGGGGGGGAGGGGGAGGTGAACCTCAACGCCGCCACGGGGCTACAAGGACTAGAACATGTGTTACAACATGTGCACATCATATTCAGAGCGCCATCAACCACAGTTGAAACAACTTAGGGAAGATTAAGAATTTGCAGGAGTGCCATATTTTACTCATAAGGTTTGATCTTGTCGAATTAATGTTAAGTTACGTGGGAGGCGCGTTAAAACATAGCGCATTAGCATGCACATTTATGTATGAGAAAAATGGTTTCTCATGACTCTGTCCAAGGTTTTCATCATTCAAAGTTCATAAGGGTATTTTGACCTCACTGAATTATAATAACACGCACAATGATATGGCAGATTACAAGACAAGCCTCGTAATATCTATAGAGCACAGTGACATACAACAGAAACAATGAGGGTGAATTTCTCCGATTAATTTTAAAATATAAACAAATTACCATTTGTTAATTTCTATCCTTCGTCAAGGAGTCGACCCTAATTGTCTCGATCACTGATTGATGACCTGAACCTCAAGGAGACACCCTTGATTACTCATCGTTTTAACAAATCGAACCAAAGAATAGATACTCCCACTCTGACCAAAATCGACAACATCATGTTTTCTAGAAAATGGGAACTAGGCTCCCGGAGAAATGCCGACACTTTGAGAGCATGCAGGCCAACTCTTCGACAAGATATGGTAAATGGAATGCCGGGCAAGAAGATATACAACTTCCAGGGCTTACGCTAGGGAGACCCGCTATCCTCCCATGCTCTTCATCTCGTGCATGGAACCCCTACAATGGTCGTTCAACCTTGCTACTACTCGAGGCCTTCTATCACCCTTGGCACAGTAGGGATTGAACCAAAGGGTTTCAATGTTCGAGGATGATGTGATGGTGTTCCTAAAGCCGAAAGAGGTGGAGCTACACACATGTGCACGTGTGTTGAAGATGTATAGCATGGCCTCCGGACTACATGTGAATGTAGGCAAAATTGTGTCTATCCCTATCTGTTGTTCTGAGGATGCAATGACCATTATCAAAACATGTCTTGGGATGCCCGATGGAAAGTTTCCCATGTAAATACCTGGGATTGCCACTAACATTGAGGAAACAAACAGCTTAGAAATTCCAAGGACTAGTGGACCAACTAGCAGCTTGTTTGGCAACATGGAGGGCGGCCAGCTTGCCTAAGAGTGAACGATTGCTCCTAGTGCAACCGGTCTTATGTGCGATACTGATTCACGATGCTAGCTCTGGATGTTCCGCCAAGGATGATTAGGACAATGATCAAGATATGCAGAGTTCTTTTGTGGTGCGAAAAAGCAAAGGCAAACTGTTGGAAATATGCCCTAGAGGCAATAATAAAAGGATTATTATTATATTTCCTTGTTCATGATAATTGTCTTTATTCATGCTATAATTGTATTATTCGGAAATCGTAATACACGTGTGAATACATAGACCACAATATGTCCCTAGTGAGCCTCTAGATGACTAGCTCGTTGATCAACAAATAGTCATGGTTTCCTGACTATGGACATTGGATGTCATTGATAACGAGATCACATCATTAGGAGAATGATGTGATGGACAAGACCCAATCCTAAGCATAGCACAAGATCGTGTAGTTCGTTTGCTAGAGCTTTTCCAATGTCAAGTATCTTTTCCTTAGACCATGAGATCGTGTAACTCCCGGACACCGTAGGAGTGCTTTGGGTGTACCAAACATCACAACATAACTGGGTGACTATAAAGGTATACTACGGGTATCTCTGAAAGTGTCTCTTGGGTTGACACGGATCAAGACTGGGATTTGTCACTCCGTATGACGGAGAGGTATCTCTGGGCCCACTTGGTAATGCATCATCATAATGAGCTCAAAGTGACCAAGTGTCTGGTCACGGGATCATGCATTACGGTACGAGTAAAGTGACTTGCCGGTAACGAGACTGAATGAGGTATTGGGATATTGACGGTCGAGTCTCGGGCGAGTAACGTACCGATTGACAAAGGGAATTGTATACGGGGTTGCTTGAATCCTCGACATCGTGGTTCATCCGATGAGATCATCGAGGAGCATGTGGGAGCCAACATGGGTATCCAGATCCTGCTGTTGGTTATTGACCGGAGAGTCGTCTCGGTCATGTCTACGTGTCTCCCGAACCCATAGGGTCTACACACTTAAGGTTCGGTGACGCTAGGGTTGTAGAGATATGAGTATGCAGCAAAACGAAAGTTGTTCGGAGTCCCGTATGAGATCCCGAACGTCACGAGGAGTTCCGGAATGGTCCGGAGGTAAAGAATTATATATGGGAAGTCGAGTTTCGGCCATCGAGAAAGTTTCGGGGGTCACCGGTATTGTACCGGGACCACCGGAAGGGTCCCGGGGGTCCACCGGGTGGGGCCACCCATCACGGAGGGGCCCATGGGCTGAAGTGGGAGGGGAACCAGCCCCTGGTGGGCTGGTGCGCCCCCCCCCCTGGGCCCCCTCTGCTCCTAGGGTTGGGAACCCTAGGGGAGGGGGCGCCTCCACTTGCCTTGGGGGGCACTCCATCCCCCTGGCCGCCCCCCCCCCTTGGGAGATCCCATCTCCAGGGCCGGTGCCCCCCTGGGGTCCCTATATAAAGAGGGGGGGTGGGAGGGCAGCCGCACCCTGACATCTGGCGCCTCCCTCCCCCCTTGCTACACCTCCTCCTCCTGTAGTCGCTTGGCGAAGCCCTGCCGGAACCCTGCTGCATCCACCACCACGCCGTCGTGCTGCTGGATCTTCATCAACCTCTCCTTCCCCCTTGCTGGATCAAGAAGGAGGAGACGTCACGCTGACCGTACGTGTGTTGAACACGGAGGTGCCGTCCGTTCGGCGCTAGGATCTCCGGTGATTTGGATCACGACGAGTACGATTCCCTCAACCCCGTTCTCTTGAACGCTTCCGCTCGCGATCTACAAGGGTATGTAGATGCACTCCCCTCTCTCGTTGCTAGATGAACTCATAGATGGATCTTGGTGAATGTAGGAAATTTTTTTATTTTATCAACGTTCCCCAACAGTGGCATCATGAGCTAGGTCTATGCGTAGTTCTCTATTGCACGAGTAGAACACAAATCTGTTGTGGGCGTAGATGTTGTCAACTTTCTTGCCGCTACTAGTATTATTTTGCTTTAGCGGTATTGTGGGATGAAGCGGCCCGGACCGACCTTACACATACGCTTACGTGAGACAGGTTCCACCGACTGACATGCACTAG